ATATATATATATATATATATATATATATATAAATTATAAGCAGTGAAAAAGACAAACGTGAAGATTTGAAGGAAGATATACAAAACATAATGACAAAAAGAAAAAAAAGTAATAATATAATAATAATAACAATCTTGTAAATAACATCTGAAAACAAAACAAATGAAGAAGAAAGTAATGATGAACTTTTATGGATCACAAAAAAAAAATAGCGTTCAAATATGCAAAATAAAATTTTTTCGGAAGGGGAACAAACTGCAAACAGACTTTGTAGGTGAACGTCGCTGAAGGGCACTTTTTACACATTTCCAAGCAAAAAAACTGGTAAAAAAAACATATGAACTTGGAAAAAAATGTAAGCTTCTTACAGAAAATAAACAAAGAGAATAAACGTTAATAAAAAAAAAAACAAACTTGGAGGCAGAACATAACAAAAATGGTCTAGCAGACGATTAACGAAAGGAGTTAGAAAAAAAAAAAGAAGAACAGAAAAATGAATGAAAATAAACCTGGAAAAGCGGATTTTTTCCCCGTCGTTATTAACATACAAAAAAAAAAAAAAAAAAAAAGCAGAAAGAAAAAAGAAATAGAAACAGAAACTCTGTAACAAATGCTAAAATTTCGTTCACCGATGGTAAAATGAAAATTTCATGAAACTTACAAAACGAAATGCATGTGACAAAGACAGCTTTTGCTTTCTCCCCCTTCCATCGGCCAGTGTACTGTAGCCGTTCTATCTGTTTATCCTCAGTGCACTAAACAGTTTTTGCGGTTTTTCGGTGCCGTACATATTTGCTTACTGAAAACTTATCAATCCTTATCTACAATTCTTCCTTTCTTTTTTCTTTTTTTTTTCTTTTGTCACCAAAAAGCAAGAAAAAAAAGCAACGAATTGGATAATTTTTGGTTAATTTTTCTTTTCGCTGTTTAAAAATCAGAAAAAAAAAAGAACCGATCAGTGACCGTACTATACCTTTAAACTACGGTAAACATCTAGACCATAAATATAAATTCATGTCATCTGTAAAAAAACTTAACACAGAAATTAAATTGCAAAAGAATGAAGAAGAAAATGATAAAACTGAAAAGAGAGAGAAAAAACTGCAGCAAGTCCTGAGTCTGATATGATCTCGAAGCAAAAAATCAAAAACAAAAAAAAAACAAAAACGAAAAAAAATTGACGTAAAAACAAGTAGCTTTAAAAGCGTCATTTCTTTTTTCGCTTCTTGAAAATTTTTTTGTAAACTGAAAGCTACGATGTCATTATGCTAAAAAAATTGTTCATTAAAACATATTTTTTAAACATTAATTTTTAGCATTATAATATTACAAAAAAATAAAAATAAAAAAAAAAAATGATTGAGCAAAAAACGGTTCAGACCCAGTTTGCTCGCACCGAGTTGAAAGCTTCTTTAGACTAATAATAATAATATTAATAATAATCGTAACTATAATAATATAATAATAATAATAATAATAATAATAATAATAATAACAAATAACCGTTGACTTAAAGCTACCGTGCATAACAACTGTACCTCTCTGTAAGCGCCAACAAATTTCACTGTTGTTCGTTGGTGCTATTTTTTGTCTCTTGGAGTAAGATAACAGAAGTTTAATGCATCGGCATTGATACGACCTGCATTTTTCAGAAATTGGTGACGCTAGCCCCAGCGCAGCGTTACTTTAAAGGCAATTTTAAGATTCGAAAAAGAAAAAAAAATGAAAAAAACAGTACAGACGAAGACGTGAAAGGGAAGTCACTATTGGCAATGAAGGGATGATAATATTAATAATAATAACAGCAGCAGTAGCAATAATAATAATAATCATAATAATAATAATGATTAGCTTTAGTAGTATATTATAAACTTGTCACTAAAAGGAGATCATCTTCATGCGGTTTTCGTCCAGTTGCTGGTCGAAGTAGAGCAGAAGTTGAGTACCGATTAAAGTCACAAACTTCAGATCGTTGCATCCCAAGGTGTTCCATATAACGTTGATCGGCCAATGTTGCCGCGGCACTTTCCAGCTCAGATTCCTCTAGCGAATACGCTAAAAACATAAAAATTTATATCAAAAAATATAAATATGTTTCATCGTTATAACAGCAACAAGGTTCATTTCAAAAAATTAATTTATGATTTTATACCTTCTGCTATTTCTCTTCGAGCGGCTTCGACAACTCGTTCGTCCATATATCGCCCAAGGTCAAGTGCTTGACCAACCAATCGTCCAGCAAGATGTTCTTCACCAGTTTCTCCAGGTCTTGGTGGAGATCGATAGCCGTAAGGGACGCGGACTGACTTACCCCCAGGTGCAGGCCTAAACCAATCAATTAATAAGTAGTAAAACTTACCAAAATAAACGCCTAACATAAAATATATTGCAGGTAACGTATTGAAAACCAGCTCCCAAAAGAAGTAGAACCAAAAAAACTGTGAAAATTAAACAAAAAAACAAGTGCTGTTTTTTGTCGAAAATAATACCCTGATATGGTTTCAGTACCATCTAAATGTCACATAACACTAAAAATGAAAAGCAAACTAATACCGGTAAATGTCCTCGTAAGTTTCGGTAACTCCACGAGGATCTCGTGATATAACAGCGCCTCCCAATCGCCGAGAAATTAAAAATGGCTCACGAAGTTCACCATCCATAGAGCCGTCATCACGAAAACGATCATCTTGCCGTGTGATACCTCTAGCACCATACCAATTGTCGTCGTCCGGTGTCAGGCTACAAAGGTTAAAAGCAAATAGTTTGATAAAGCGCAAAAATGTGCTGCAGAAATGACTTTTAGCTGTATTTTTTGAAATACAAATAACTGTAATCTACTTTCTGTTAGGCGTCAAGTATCGTTTCGAAATTAGTTTCTGGTCATAATAGTCATCGGTTGAAATGGGAACTTGAGGTAGACGTCGTTGCACGGAACCGCCATTAGACTGAGTAGGAAGTGGGCCACGAGGTGGAATTGCCGTTAGCGCCTCTTTCTCTTAAATATAACAGCAGTAAAAAAAACGCTCATTTTTTTTGTTCTTCCTGCAGAATTAGTTGAATTCTCTTTTCGTGCAGTCTGTTAAGATGACGGGAATTTAACTGCAACAGGCATCTTGTGATATAAAAATCCTTTAACAATTATGGGTATTGAAATTCAAATCTTTTTGTTTATAATATTACAGACCCTATTAAGCAGTATTTGTCGTAAGAGTGGTGAGCTCATTCAAACTGACCATTTCAAAAGCATCAATGTATGCTTCGGAAAACGAACAGTAGGTGAAAAGACAGAAAGACGATAGTTTGAAAAGGATTGGAAACAACAGTCTGGCGCAG